GTAGTTGGAACACTCAACGTTAAGCATTATGCCGCATAATGCGCTATAATGCTGTAATTTATTTATTTATTTATATCACATTGCTCATGTACATTTTTTATTATAAGGTCTTACATACTTAATAGAGAGTGGTACATGACCCCCATAATTTTTAAATTTATATTTATTTTGTTTTCGAGCAGCAGCTAATATTTGTCTATTTTTCACCACAAAATCATAAAAGTTTTTATATGAAAAATCGAAATTTGTTAGGACTTGTAACTATGCTTTTACTAAAGAAATACTCATTCTACTTTTTTATTTTTCTCAAATTACTTATAAGGTACCTCCCGTTAGCGCAACACGCATTGTACTGAATGATTTATCTCATTAGACTGAGAATAAGAGACAAACGTGCGACATACTCGACAAGCCGCGGGGGGAAGTAACGCGTCGGCGAGACGAACAGGTTTAGACCGGCAGCGGAGCGGCGCGAGATGTTGTGGCCGCTAGCGGTGGGTCGTTCTCAAATTTTCTGACGACGAAACGCAACCGTTTTCTCTTAAACGAAAACTAGTCCTCGAAACGGTTCTCGTTCGCAACTGGTTTTGGTTGCGGCTGGGTGACGCAACGAAACGACACGCGACGGTCGAACGAATGTAACGCAACGAAACTGAACTAAATGAAATCTTGTTAACGTTCGTTTCGTTGCTGCGAACGAGACGACTAAACATCGAAATAAATGTAGTGTTATACGATAATCGACTTTAAATGTTGGATAATAAAGATTATATTATTGTAAAATCAAAGCTTAATTATCATAGAACGAAACGGCCTCTTAGCATTGCATTCTATTATAGACTGTATTTGCTTATTCATAAAGAACATATTGGCTTGCAGACAATCCGAGGACTAGTTCGACGAAGACTGTTTTGATCCGAAACGTAAAACGGTTCTATCGTCGCGGAACACAAAACGGTCCTTGAAACCGGTTCGTCTTTAGAACGCTCACACCTAGTGGCCGCACAGCGAGTAAATAGCGATGGCTGCATTTAATTTGAATACCTCGTTTACATGCAGCGCGAGTAAGGAGGGAAGTGGGCAGGGAAGTGGGCATGACGAGTATGTAAACACGATACTCGTCATGCCACTGCCATTGCCACTCGCGCTGCCCGGCGCTCCCCAAAAGAGCGGTTTTTTGTGCGGAAGTCAAAGGACCGGCAGCGCGAGTGGCAATGCGTGTTCACATTCTGCGCGTCGCTTAGATCCTGCCATGCGCTTGGTGGAGAAAAACGTGAAATCAAAAAATATTAATTAATTAAATCATTACTATGGATCTTTGTTATCCGAAAATTAATGATTATTATTATATTATTATTATCATCATCATCATCAGCCTCTTTATGTCCCCACTGCTGGGGCACGGGCCTTCCCTATGGATGGAATAGGGAGATTCGGCCATGACTAGGGTTGCCACCTTTTTTACGTCCAAATAAAGTACATTGGATATGAAAGGTAGAAAAAAAAGTACATTGTGTCCAAAATAAAGTACATTTTAATCCACTTTATTAGTAAGCTTAAAATATATTTTACGGTGCTTATAGCAATATTTAATAAATAATTTGTGGCTACTAAAAATCTGTAGTTCTTATCCGCAATGGGAAAGACCATTGTACAAAGCCATACAGCCGCGACAATGTTGCAGGAATGGGCTAATTGCGACATATTATACATACTGTTGTTCCGTTTTACGCAAAAAATCTTCCTATCCTCTTTATTTATATTATATGTAAAATTAATTCCCAAGTAATCAAATCACATTAAATAAAGTATTTTCGCGTACTTTATTGTTGGCATAAAGTATAGAGTACCATTACCCGAAATAACGTACAATACTTTATAATAAAGTACGGGTGGCAACCCTAGCCATGACCCACCACACGGGCCCAGTGCGGATTGGCGGGTTCTAATGACTGCAGATGCAACCGGTACCAACGGCTTAACGTGCCTTCCGAAGCACGGAGGAACTCGAGATAGAAATTTTTGGTCACCCATCCAATGACCGACCACTGCGAAAGTTGCTTAACTACAACGATCGCAGCCGAACGCGCTAACCACCTGCGCCATCGAGCTTCTCATTAATTAATTAAATCATCATCATCAGCCTATTAATGTCCCCACTGCTGGGGCACAGGCCTTCCCTAATTAATTAAATATTTATTATAAATTAATATTTATTTATATTAAAGTTATTAATTATTTAAATTTCGAACATAATTATGGATTGCAAAAAGACACAGCGCGGCCGCTGTAATTACTTCGACGCCTGCCATTGCCGAAACTCTGAAGCGAAGTGAGAGGTAAGGCAGTATGTAAACACATACTTCTCTCAATCATGCCGCAGCAATATTTAGGGAATTATTGCCGGCAACGCGAGGGGCAGCGGCATGGGCATAATCTAAACGAGGTATTAGAAAAACCGGAGAAATTAGTGTTCTCCGGGAGGTCGGGAGGTTAACTTTTACTCGCGGAGTCTCCGGGCAATCCGGGAGGGTTGGGAACCCTATACCGTGCCGTAGCTGGCACACTAGCATACCAGCTCCTTGCACGTGCCAGCTACTGTCATGTGTATACGCAAACTGGCATGCCTGTAATACTGGCACTGGCATACAAGCAGCTAGCACAACATTTCGAGCCGTTACCGCCAAATTATCGTAAGCGACACTTTTGTCGAAATGCGTTTTTTGTGGAAACTAATATTTTAAACCGTAACGGACCCATCTCTGTTGATATTTCCCTCCAAAAGAACACCGTAATAATATAATAGAGGGAAGAATAGAGGGACGGGGTATCATGGGCGAGTCGCACTTTCAGCGAAAATGGGTGCCTACTGGAGCGAACGAAAAGACATTTTCAATGTTAAAACCAGTTTAACGAATACTGATTTGTTATATTCGATATAACAAATGTGCACTGCACAGACTGTAGTACTGTATAACTATATGGTTGGCACCAATTGGCAGTGTATCAGTTAATTTAATTGAACTTTGAACCGTGGTATTGGGTTAAAAATAACTAGGTACAAATATCCATAAATATTTATTCTTGGCCTTCAGAAATCGAAAAGGAAAATAACTAAAACGATAAGAAAATGATTCAAAACAATGATTCAAATAGATTCAAAACAATAATTTAACAATTAATTGCCTCAGCCGTTGTCAACAACCAACAAAACAAACTACTTTGAAAAAAAATAGGTATCAGGTCAACGACACTACAAACAGAAAGAGACACTCAATGTATATCGGATCCACATAATGGGAAAGAAAAGGACAGGCTGCTTGTATTCAAGGACGACGAAAAGGGATGGGGCGAAAACAATTGACTGCGAAGGCCGCGTGAGTGCAAAGGACGGGAGATCCACGTGCTCGCGATGACGCAGAAAGCCGGGCACGTGATCAGGGTGGTCAGGCTTAAAAATATCCCGAAGTCAAGGGAAAAATACGCGGGAATGTGAACAGTTTTGTTTATGTGGCATTGTTATCACATGTTGTGGTTGCTGTCTTACTTTTGAAAACTTAGTGAATTTTAAAACAATTTTATTAATCTCTCTAAATAAATTTATTGTTAGATATTTAATTGAAGCGTAGTAAAATGTGTGTTAATAAACATTAGAAACTTCGTAAACTTTGCATTTACGACGCACTGGATCTATTTAACTGTTTCTTTAGGTTTTGTTTATAATTCATTCCATTTAGACATCGTCATAAAATTTTTGTTCATCTGAAGCATGTCGTTACATACAAAATTGTTATTAAAAAGCCCGCCACGCGGTGACCCGGCTTTGGATTCTTAGTACAGAACATACTTTTTTTAGATTTTACTTTTTTATGAGCCAACGTAACATTAATCATGTACCTGGCCTGACTGGTCTGCATTATCTCTTTTATAATTTAATTTTGATTTGATGTAGTGTACACTTATAATTTTAACACTTTTTGCTGTTAATTAACACTTATTATTTGACTGATTTATATCAAAATAACTTAGAAAAATATTTAGGCATATCAGAAAATATATCTTTAATGATAATCTTAATAATGTAATCAAATGGATAACAAATGATTTCACTAAAATACAAATTAAAAATACTTCAATTTTTCAATCAAAGTTAAACACTTTCTTCAAATCGATAAATAATGTTGTGAAATGTGTGGATTTTACATCCAGTCGGACCACAATGAAAATAGCAATATAAAAGCAAACTAGTATCAAGAAATTAATTGCAACTCACTCGTTGAGGTTAGGTATTTTTATATCATTGCTCTTTTTTCATTAGAACCGACTCCATTTGCTCTTTTGCAGATTTACTATGACTTATTATTTAATAAATAACTTCTACGACTCCAATATTCTTTCATTTATTCACTCCACAATAAAAAAAAAATTAAAAATGTTCTTCAATCGAAAGATTCTTGAATTACATAACATTTATGACGTTTTTGAATGACGTCTTAAAAGGGCTCTCAGATCAAGCTTTTCAGGTGTGACCAGTTTATGGACTCTGCAAAGATATCGTGGCTCCACTTTACAAATAAAATGATGTAACAAGTTGATGAGCAAATTAATCAAATTGTAATTTTATATCGTAAATAGTATCCATGATAAGCAAAACCGCAAAACAGTTTAAATGAAAATTCCTTATTTAAGCTCTTTGTGTTATTGTTAAAAGCAAAATAATCCCATTATGCTTAAAAAAATCTTATATCAATAATATTGACACATCAGGGTAAATTATTTTCATTGAGCTGGCAACCCCCTTCCAGAACGCTCTACTAGACTCGCGTCGTGATTGGCCAGAAAATTAGCGCTCTCGAAATTTCTCTCATCCCATTGGCCGCACATATAAATACCGCGAACGCGGGCCGCACGGGATAGTTTGAATACTTCAAGGTCAACGAGTGTGTTTGGCGCGCGTATTTTAGTGATTTTACGTTTTAAAGTGAATTTTTAGTGTTGAAATGGTTGCTATCGGAATAGACTTGGGCACAACGTATTCGTGTGTGGCCGTTTGGAAGGAAGGCACCGTGGAAGTGATTGCAAACGAGCAAGGAAACAGGACTACGCCATCTTACGTCGCTTTTACACGGACAGATCGCCTCGTCGGTGAAGCGGCGAAGAACCAAGCGCCTTTCAACCCCGGCAACACTGTTTTTGGCGCGAAACGTCTAATCGGCCGCCGGTACGATGACGTAGGCGTCCAAATGGACTTACGCCATTGGCCATTTCAAGTGATCAACGAGGACGGTAAGCCTATGGTCCTAGTGGAGCATAAAAATGATAAAATGAAGTTTGCGCCAGAGGAAATAAGCAGTATGGTTATTTCCAGGATGAAGCAAGTGGCCGAGACGTATTTGGGCTCGAAGGTTGACAGCGCGGTGATCACAGTGCCTGCGTACTTCAACGACGCACAGAGGCAAGCTACGCGCGCAGCGGCTACCATCGCTGGCTTAGACGTACTGCGCATCACGAACGAACCTACCGCCGCCGCTTTGGCTTACGGACTAGACAGAAACCTCAAGGGAGAGAAGAACGTTCTGATATACGACCTCGGCGGTGGCACATTCGACGTTTCAGTCTTAACCATAGGCGAAGGGTCCGTTTATGAAGTTAAAGCGACAGCTGGCAACACTCGTCTCGGTGGCGAGGACTTCGACAACAGATTAATGGTGTACTTCGCGGAAGACTTTAAAAACAAGTATCACACTGATGTGGCTCATAATGCTAAAGCGATGAGGCGGTTGAGGAATGCATCGGAACACGCCAAAAGGTTTCTGACGTCCGCAACGGAAGCCACTGTCATAGTGGAGTCGTTGTGCGACGGCATAGATTACCAGGGGCGTGTCACCAGGGCGTTATTCGAGGATCTGTGCTCAGACCTGTTCACAGACACTCTCAAGCAGGTAGAGCAAGCGTTGAGCGACGCAAGAATGAACAAGAGCGATATCCACGACATAATTCTTATCGGTGGTAGCACAAGAATACCGAGAATTCAAACTATGTTGATTGAATACTTTGACGGGCATCCGCTGACCACAGCGATCAACCCAGACGAAGCGGTAGCGCTCGGCGCTGCCATCCAAGCCGCATTACTCAGCGGCGAACACCACGATAAGATAAAAGACCTACTTCTAGTTGACGTTGTGCCATTGTCTCTAGGCGTAGAAACAGCAAGAGGAATAATGTACAAAGTGATAGAAAGGAATACGGCCATACCATGCACGAATACTAAAGATTTGACAACCCAAGAGGATTACCAAAGGAGTATGACGATAGAAGTGTTCGAGGGCGAAAGGAGTTTGACCAAAGACAACAACCTACTTGGTGTTTTCGATTTAAACGGTATACCTCCAGCTCCCAGAGGGGTGGCCAAAGTTGACATCACTTTTGACGTGGACGCAAATGGTATATTGAACGTTACAGCTCAAGATAGGAGCACAGGGCGTTCCCAAGGCATTACTGTGAAGAACGAACACAGATTGACCCAGCGGGAAATAGGGAAGATGATTGCTGACGCTGCGATCTTTCGTGAAGAAGATACGGAAAGGAAACGGTGTTTAGAAGCAAGGAATCAGTTGGAGAGTTACGTTTACAACGTTAAACAGACTGTGGTGGAAAAGGGGGAGGCAATGGCGACTGAGGAAAGAGATATAATGCTGGATGAATGCAAGATTGCTATATCTTGGTTGGAAGACAACGAGGGTTGCTTAACGGAGGAGTACGAGAGGAAAATGACGGAGCTCATGAAGAAGTGGTCCTGCATCATGAAGAAGTTCTACGACTGCAGCTGGAGGCACAGATGTAAGAAGCGGAAAGTGGATAACCATCAAGAGGAACTGGGGGAACATGAATCAACTACTATAGAAGAGCTTTTCGATGAATAATGTTTTTTACAGAAATTACAATTATGATGGATCTTTAAATCTAAAGAAAAATTTACTAGAAAAAAGACGTGAAAAACTAGCCGGTTTACAATAAATACACTCGGAGAATTGCTTGGGATGTTCTTCCTCGAAAGGTGCTGGCGCCGAACTGATCGGCGATTTTTTTTGAGTGTGTATGCTGTTGGTCGCAGATGACCTGTACAGCGTCACCGGGTTTGGGGACGGCGAGATCCTAAGGGGACCTCAAGCCGAGAATTGGCGAGTGCCTCTGGAGGTATTCCAGGCGGATGGCGTCTCCCCACGGGGGGAGTCTCCGCTCCGTCTGGAGCTTCCAGGCCACTCGAACCTAAGGGGATCGGCTCAACTAGAGGGCGTCTCTGAGTTGATCGGCGAGTTGTTGAGCACTGGTATATATTGCATTTTACGGGCGAGCGTAGCCACGCCGGAAATCGGTTTTACGTGCGCCAAAAGATGTTTCAAATCAAAAATTCCACGGGGTACGCGGTCCGGGTGGAATTTTGTCTAGTAAATTTTTCTTTAGAATTAAACATCTATTGTAGCAGATTAATGCTTAAATAAATAATAAATGTGATGGATCTCTCAAACTTAGTGTTACCTTATAGATCTAAGTAAAAATGGCTGTGTATTGATTTTGTTATTAATTCAAGACAATAAAGAATAAATGTTTAATAAAAGAACAGAGATAATATTTATTCTACGTTAGTTTAATATTGTTAGAAAGTAATAAAACTAAATCTAGTAGTGCGTGTAGGCCTAATTATAAAACAGAAAATTAAAATAATACTTTGGTGTCGAATCATTATTAATTTTGACAACAGTCTCTCCTTGGCATTATCTTTAAAGAATGATAAGGAGAGACTGATTTCAAATTTAGTTTTAAGTTTAGAGAATCACGCCAGAATCGACACCATTGTCAATTGGACAGTTATTCTTTTATTAATGTTAACCTAGGTACTCACATTAAAAAAAAACAGAATTTAGAAATTAAAAATTTCGTTAAAGATGCGGAACTTTGTGTACGTTCACATATTTTTTGGGTAGTTTACAATTCTTATTTAAAATAAAATTCCAAATGTTTGCTTTTTTACAGAAAATAAAATGTATTTTTACATAAATAGGTATTTGCACTTACACATAATAAACGGAGTTATTACATAAAAAATATTAATTCTACATTAGGCAAGTGTGAATTCCAAAATATAAAAAATAATTTTCAATCTATTCTGGGAAAATACATATTTACGTAATTTTAAATTTAATATTACATATGTCTAAAATACATAAAACATACTTATGCAAAATTACAATTATGTATTTTTACACAAATGAGAATTAACCCCACTATGTGAAATTACAGAACATGTACTTTTACATATTATACATGTAAAATTACATTAAAAAAATCTGTAAATTTCCGGTTCTGTTTTACATTGCTGTGCAAAATCACATAATCTACGGGAAAATAGTATTTTTTCCAGAAAATTTCTAACAATGCAGATAAGTACAAATATTGTGAAGAATTTAAGAATTTCGGATTGTTTTTTTTAAATTATAAGCAATTTTACACGCTGGTGTTTTATTATTCGAGACGTCTCTGATACGAATAGCGAATTCGTATCGTTTGCGAGTCCGAAATGTCATTGTCAAATGTGTACTGATTTTTAGTTCTCGTTACGTACTATGTGCCGCTGCTGTTCAAGTTTCCATACAAAATTTGACATTGACATTTCGGTTTGCAAACTGTTCGAATTCGATAATGGTTTGTGCTAGGTGTACTGATCGTAGGTTTGGAACGCAGCTCCGTGCATTTTGTAAACGACAGCTGCGTGGGCAGCAGAGGGCGTGTGTAGAGAAACATGTTTCAGAAAAAAAGTTTTGTGTATGAACGGATTTGTATGAAATTTAGAATGCATATAGTTTATGACCTGGATTGAGACGTAGGATACTTTTTATCCTGCAAAAAAATAATAAATACTTTTTGTTACTTTATTACAAAAAATAAAGATGTGGTTTTTGGTTCTACTACACCAATGGTCAAGAGATGGCGCTGTAGTCTCCTGAATCGCGCTTTGGTTCCGTTGTTCCAGATTAATAAATACTTTTGATAGGCCTTCACAATGCAGTCGTTAGCACCCACAAAATAGAGATTCTATTTCTATTTTGTTGGTAGATTTTCTTGCGACCAACTTCATGCTGTTAATTTTTTGTGTTACGCGCGTTAGTGATGCGCGCGCATCTTAAGATTTCACTCTCATCATTTTTTTATAACGCGCCTAAAGAAGTAAAACTTCAAAAATGTTAAGTTCCTGTGGGATAAACTAAAAAGTTAAATTAACACGGACAAAGTCGTGAGCGACCACTAGTATATAATAAATCCTCCTCCAACCCCTTTTCTTCAGAGGACCACGCGCGCTGGGCTACGCTGTCACCGCCCTACTGTGGCCACAATTCCAACGCGTATAAAGAATTTTGGTGACTTGATCATTTCTTTGTCGCACTATCCGTAAATGGAATGCTCTGCCCGCTCACGTGTTCCCTCCCTCTTACAACCTGGGATCCTTTAAAAGAGGCGTGAAAAAGCAACATGCAGGCCGGCAGGGTGAGGATGGCAGTTGGAACTGCTGTATCAGCTATCTTCACGTCTGGACTTCACCGTCACTTAACATCACGTAGGGCGGACTCCAAAAGGTTCTTGGTTCATTTGTGGGTCAAGGCATATGTTACTATAACAAAATACCGAAAGAAATAATTAATTTACCTTTCAATAAGTTTAAAGTGTGTATAAAAACATGTCTCCTTAAGAAAGGTTACTATACTGTTAAAGATTTCATAAATGATAAGTCACCTTGTCACAACAGACTAAGTCGTTTTACTTTGCTGATTTGGTTGAAAATTGTTTAATCGCCACTTCTAAATTTAAAAGTAGTACCTAGCTATACTTAACTTTTGTTAATTAATAATATTAATGTGATGGAAGTTGACATCAACACATGTTTTAAATTTTTGATGTCATCTTTCAATTGACGACACGGTTTGAAACAAAACAGGGAGAAAAAAATAGCCCTTGCTGAGTTTCTTGCCGGTTCTTCTCAGTACAAGGTCTCCCGGCGTAGATTTACGAACCGATGGCGTAGCGTTTGACTTTCACAAGAGCTTGTAACAGCCTAGACTGAATAAATGAGTTTGAGTTTGAATTTGTCGGACCTGTCTATAAACAAAAAAAATACATGTTGTTTGTATTTATTTTATACTTGCGTTTTCCACCAGCACTTCGGCTCCCTGGAGCTGTTCCGAGGCGGTCAGCACCGCCAGCATGCTGCGATGATGGTGATGGCCATGCTAGGCTTCTACTTCGAAGTGGCCCGCCACGACAGGGACAAACACATACGAGTGCATCTCAGACATGTGAGGCCAGGTATGGCGTATCACCACAGAATACAGAAAGTAGTAGGGTGATCATAGACCGTTTGTATGGGAACCGATGTCGCCGGCTCCTCCCCACTAAATCATCAGCCTTTTAATGTCCCCACTGCTGGAGCACAGGCCTTCCCTATGGATGGAATAGGGAGTTTGGGCCATGACCCACCACGCGGGCCCAGTGCGGATTGGTGGGTGCTAACGACTGCAGATGCAGCCGGGACCAACGGCTCAATGTGCCTTCTGAAGCACGGGGGAGCTCGAGATAGTAAATTTTTGGTTATCCATCCAATGACCGACCACTGCAAAAGTTACTTAACACTTAATTAAAGGCTCAGAAATACGTATTTTAATATAATTTATACTCTAACTAGTGGCCCGCCCTCGCTTCGCTTCGGGGTAGAATTGATCAAAATCCTTTCTTAGCGGATGCCTACGTTATAACATCTACCTGCATGCCAAATTTCAGCCCGATCCGTCCAGTGGTTTGGGCTGTGCGTTGATAGATCACTATGTCAGTCAGCCAGTCACCTTTGAGTTTTATATATATATATATAGATAACAATATTCCTATAATTTAAATAAGTCACTATGTTTTGAAAAGGTCTAAAGCTAAGGTTCCAGAATTAGCTGTTTTTAAGTGATTTCTGATAATAGATTGTAATATGTTTTCTTAATTACTTAAAATTAATTAACCAAAGAATAATGCCTTGCTTTTATTTATCACCTTCTTCAAATAATTTATCTTGATAGAATGTTTAAAATGAGGGCTATCGCGTCTGAAACCGCCACTAGAGGCGCTTGTGTAGCGTGAGGTCTCCGAAATGTCAAACGTTATTGCTTGTGAGTCGACTACGCGGTTTTTTTCTAATTAAAATAATAGTTGTGAATATTTGGTAATAACTCAGACTAATTATGGCAAATATGAGTTACGTGTCAATGAATGTCAGTTATTTAAAAGCGGAGCTAAGAAAAAGTATTGTCCTTCTTTTTTCCGAACAAAACGGGACTGCGCAACACTGTGGCATGGTCGATTATGTTTAAGATACGATACTTTTGTATTAAAATGTAAACTTTGATATCACGAGCGTGTTTACTAACTTTAAAAGCTACACTTCAGGACCTCACTCAACAGTGACGCCATCTGGTGAGACAAAAAACGGTAGCCCTCATTAGGTAGGCCTTATTTGTATTACTTACCTTATTATGCTGTTACTTGGGTAAGTTGGTGTAAATATGTGGTGTCTATCTATCGTCTGTACCACGGCGAGTGTTCTGAGGAGTTATTCTCTCTTATTCCACCTTCCCCTTTCCTTCAGAGGACCACGCGCGCTGGCTTACGTTGTTACTGTCTAACTGTGGCTACAATTCCAACGCGTACAAAGAAGTTTGGTGACTCATTACTTTGTCGCACTATCCGTAAATGGAATGCTCTGCCCGCTCACGTGTTCCCTCCCTCTTACAACCTGGGATCCTTTAAAAGAGGCGTGAAGAAGCAACATGCAGGCCGGCAAGGTGAGGATGGCTGGTGTGGCAGGTAGAACTTCTTTTGAGCTATCTTCGCGTCTGGACTTCACCGTCACTTAACATCAGGTGGGGTGGAGTCATTTGTCGGACCTTTCTATGAAATAAAATACTATTATGATATTAGTGCGGTGAGTTGATAATAATTATTCTTATGTTTTTATTTTATTTTTTAAGCATTTAACTGCTAGATGTTTAAATCTAAAGAAAAGTTTACTAGAAAAAAATCCACGCGGACCAGGCAGCGGACGGGACTCGAACCCGCACCCTTCGCTATCCGGGCGAATGCACTGACCATTATGCTACCACGGCCCTATTCGCCGCGTCTTCTTTAGATCTAAACATCTAGCAGTTAAATGCTTAAAAAATAAAATAAAAACATAACTATAATTGCTATTTCTTCTTTCAAATGTTTAATACTTGAAAAAGTATTCATTTGACATTGTGGATTACCTACAACGCAAAGAGATGGCGCTGCCTTGCAGCTTAAGGCTAGGAAAATTTCGACGCGGCGAATAGGGCCGTGGTAGCATAATGGTCAGTGCATTCGCCCGGATAGCGAAGGGTGCGGGTTCGAGTCCCGTCCGCTGCCTGGTCCGCGTGGATTTTTTCCTAGTAAACTTTTCTTTAGATTTAATAATTATTCTTATCACATCCACTACCAGATAAACTCCACCACTTCGAGAAGATCAGGTCTGATGGCACTCTCCCGCTGCCGTACGACTACGAGAGCGCCACTCACCCCGCTTGGCAGTTCTGGCGGAGGCTTGGCAAGAGTGGCATATCCACTGTCGCCACTTACAAGACACAAGTAAGTTGGAAATCCTGAATATTGAGTTGAATCTCAAAAAGGGTGGTGAACTAACTTCTTCAGCCAAAACCACCAGACAACTTGCGCATGCGCAATAGTCGCTTTTGTATGACACGTGTCATATAAGATTTCATCCCCATCATCTTGATGCGTGGCTATCCACAACCGTGCGTTTTTGTCGAAATTTTTTACCACGTACGACAAAACTGTGGAATATGTTGTCGCCAGCAGTGTTTCCGGACCGATACGACCCAAGAACCTTCAAAAAAGAGCGTACTCCTTCCTTAAAGGCCGGCATCGCATTTGTGATACTCCTGGTGTTGCAAGTGTCCATGGGCGACGGTGATCACTTACCATCAGGTGAGCCGTCTGCTCGTATGCCCCCTATAACATAAAAAAAAGTTGTCGTAGGATAATATGATAAATCCTATAATGTTTTATAGTTAAAGATATACACGCTTCTAATACGGCAATATGAATGATTGGCTTGATTTTCCTAATATTCAATGTGTTGTCTTTTTTTTGAGTACATTTGTTTAGAAATAAAAAAGCAGTTAAAAAGCAAAATAGAAACATAACTTTTTACACAAAACCTTTATTTTTCTTTTTTAGGACCCCGATGGAACGGTAATGAAGGAACTCGGACAGCATTCGAAGTTACTGTCCGACCTCGATTTGGTAAAGATCAACAGTGTATACGGCACAAAATGTTTCAAAATGGGTAGATCACGGCAAGTCTACAAAAAGAGATTTGTAAAAGACAGACAAAGAGGTCAATAAGATAGAGACAGATGAAGGTCAGAAAGTTTTATTGTAAAAAGAATGGAAAATAAACGTGCTTGGAAGACTTTTTGAGACTGTCTTTCATTTTTTATCTTTTCGTGTTCATTTTCAAAGTTCGCTTTTCAATTTGTTTGAGGCTTATTGAGGCACGTCTTTGCCTCCTGCACTCTTTAACAATCAAGTGAGGTAAAGTTAAACTCATTTTCCTGGCTCTATAACATAAACAAGTTTTAAAAACTGAGTAAATAAGTTATTTCATTCTTAATTTTGGAGTGGTACTTACTTATATCATTATTAAGACTGAGTAAGCATAACGAGAAATTCCTTTGCTTTATTATTTTTTATGTCCTTGAAAAGGCAAGGGAATATCTCTAACTAGCATTACGTATACATGGATTCATGAGCATTATTCTTGGGCATCGTGACATTGTGCTTTGGTAAACTTATATCGCTTTTTGTGATGATGTCGTAAACACAGATGTTTTCTACGTAACTTCGCCGACGGAAGACGCACTTTTCCATTGATATCATGACGCTCACGGCTGGAACAAACTTTGCTCATCACTCAAGTCCTCTACGCACTATCCGTCTCGCTGGATCCAGGGCGCAAATCGCCTAGTGGTATTGCTATCGCTTACGATTTAATTTTGCTATTTCTGACCACCGAAGGTTTTCAAATAACTCACGCTCATTTTCTTTAATATTGATGATTGGTGCCGATTCTGGCATGATTCCCTAAACTTAAAACTAAATTAACATCAGTCTCTCCTTTTCATTCTGTATAGAGAATGGCAAGGATGCGCTGTTGTCAAATTTAAGTTTAGGTTTAGAGTATGCCAGATTGATTCTGGCAATTCTGACCATTGTCAATGCAAAAAAAAAAAAGATCGCAAGGCATTTGAAAACCTTCGACGCTCAGAAATAACAAAATAAAATCGTAAGCGTTAGCTATAGTCATAGCAATCCCGTAAGGCGATTGGCCCCCAGCATGCGGGACCGCGCTGTATACGTAAAAGATATGGAGATACAGGATCTCCTTTTCGTGTATATAGCGTTGTCCCACCATGCTGCATCCAGCAAGATGGTGATGAATAATGCGTAGAAGACTTTATTTAGCTTGACCGTGCCTGAGACAAATTTAGGTACAATTTCATTGCTTTTACGAGGAGTGGAGCTTAGTCCAGTTAGGAATATGTTATGCTGCAGCTATCTTCACCTTGCTGACTCATTCTCTCTTTTCATCAAGCGCATGAATTTTCATGTTAGGTAATACAAACATAACACCACTAAAAGGTTCACTTTCGTCTGCTATAATGTGGGTAATTTATAGCGCATTTACCACTGGCTTAGGGTAGGTATATAAAAAAATCAATATTTAATTTTCTGAGGCAAAGGTTACTGGTTAAATTCTGCCCTAGGCTGCCACATAGAAAAAGCGTAATTTTTTCGAAATAACCGAGATTTCATCAAACAGATATATGGTGGGGTAGATGATACTCACCCGGTCGATCGACAGTGGTAATAGACATCCTCTCTATTTTATGCTCCTCCTTCCAATGGAAGAACATTTTTTTTATGATCGCCAGAACTAAAGCTATCATAAATATACTCAACCCGAACAGTATCGTGTATAACGCCATAACTTATGAATTCTGTGTCTTCGAGGCGGTAAAACATTTTGATCAACTTTAATTAAACCTCTACTCTACGTATGCCTCTGCAAACTTTGATATTTTTCATATTTTGTTTAGATATGAAGGTATAGCTGTTTTTGAGCAGAATTTTGGGATTCACATTTTGTCATGAATTTTCTATTTAAATAAAGTAACTTAAGATATATTTTATATCAATTTTATATCCAAAACATGCTGCTACATACTGTTGACAAGTTGTCATTCATGTCATGGATTTGACGCATGAACCTCTATTATTTATAATCATTTTAAATAATGGCTAACTCCGGAAACGGCGAACAATGTCATAATATAAAGAATACATTTATTGGCTGTATGAAAAATAAATCTGTTAACATGACACGATCAAATTAAAAAAGTGGAAGTTGATTACGATTTCCGGGCGCGAAAGTTAATCATCATTTTTTCTTTCTTTTGTCTTTGTTGTGTTTAACGTGAAAAAGTTTTATACATTTCAATGATGCTAAATTAATTGATTATTAATATAAATTATTTATCCGTAACTTGTGCATTTTAAAATCATTTGGACTCTTTTTTCAAGAACGTATTTGGAATGAGTTTCGAAAGCTACGGTAAGTTTGTTATTCAGTTTAATTAAAATTTAAAGCGTTTATTGCTCATCATCAGTGCAGAACAGATGGTAATGTGTTTAAAAAGTAAAAACCATATTACCTTTAAAGATTGCATTTAAAGGTACCTATATAATTAGATAGATACATGTATATATATTTTTTAAAGCATGTAACTGTTTGATGTTTAAATCTAAAGAAAATATAACTAGAAAAAAATCCACGCGGACCAGGCAGCAGACGGGACTCGAACCTCGATAATATGTACAACTTCAAACGCCTGAATCCTGAAATTAATTACTGCGGTATCAGAAATATGTTTTTGTTGTAACATAATGTATTAGAATTTAGATTTTCCATCTCATTAATTATCAAAAAAAAACATCTAACCTCCGTGAGTTTTCCCAAAAAATAATGCAGGTTTACCTCGTATTTTGATATTGAATTAAATAGAATTACCATCAAAAACTTTCATAAAGCTAATCTACCATCATTGAACTACTGAAATATGTATATATTTTTATAATGAGTTCATTAATAATTATTTTCTAAGACTCCAAACATCACCCGTAAAATGCAATATACTCGTTTACTAGTGCAAATCTACCTACACGCCGATCAGTACGGCAGCGGCGCAATTTTGTAAAAGACGTCTAAATCTAAATTAAAATTTTTCTAGAAAAAAATCCAGACGGACCAGCAGCAGACGGGACTCGAACCCTCCACTATCCTGATAGTAATTTCTATAAAAATATATGTATTTCATCTACCTTAAAATTTTTGCTAAAATTCTCCGGTTGACTGGTAGAGAATGCCTAATGGCATTAAGTCCGCCACTTGTACATACTTTTGTGCAATAAAGTATAAATAAATATATGTATTTACACTAGCGGGTGCCCCGTGACATCGTCTGCGTGGTTGTATTGATTTCCTATACAAACTTTTACACACACTTTCAACCCTTTACGGATGATTTCTGGGATAAACACTTATCATGTGTCGTTTCCTGGGACTCAAACTAAATCTATACCAAATTTCATCTAAATCGATTCAGTGGTTTAAGCGTGATGAGGTAACGGAAAGTATATGAGTATGGATTAAAGGGTATTTTCAATAGAAAGAAGAAGATCGAGTCGTCACCACCACGCATTGAGTACTTGTACCGGAGGAGCTCGATGGCGCAAGAGGTTAGCACGTTCAGCTGCGATCGTTGAAGTTAAGCAACTTTCGCAGTGGTCGGTCATTGGATGGGTGACCAAAAATCTATGTCGAGTTCCTCCGTGCTTCGAAAGGCACGTTAAACCGTTGGTTCCGGCTGCATCTGCAATCGTTAGCATCCGCCAATCCGCACTGGGCCCGCGTGGTGGGTCATAGCCCAATCTCCCTATTCCACCCATAGGGAAGCCCTGTGCCCCAGCAGTGGGGACATAAATAGGTTGATGATGACGATGACTTGTATCGATGGCTTAACTAAAGCGCCTTCGGGAGCACGGAGGTGCTGGAGTCATTAAATATTTGATCACCCATCCTATGGCCGGCCATAATGAAAATTGCTTCATCATCAGCATATTAATGTCCTCACAGCTGGGGCGCAGGCCTTCCCTATAGATGGAATAGGGCGATTGGGCCATGAGTGACCCATCAAGCTAGCGGATTGGTGGATGCTAACGACTGCAGATGCAACCGGGACCAACGGCTTAACGTGCCTGTCCAAGCACGGAAGAGCTCGAGATGAATAGATTTGGTCACCCATCCAATGATCGACCATTGCGAAAGTTGCTTAACTTCAGTGATCGCAAGCCGAACGCGCTACCCACTTACGCCATAGATCTCTGGGCTCGCTAGGCTAGATAATTCATAAAAAAATCATTTCAGCAAAACACATAGTACAGAAGCATCGTGTCGCAGTAGCTTTGGCTGTGTTGAAAGAAAAACCCGAAAATGTGACTATAGAAAATTATTTACAAGAATTAAGAGACAAAATAAATACTAAGGTAGACGAGGATATTGATATAACAGTTTGCAGCGATGATTTCAATCTTGATGATGACGCCATTAATGGCAACAATATGTCGGAAACACTTAGTGGTACTAACACAACTGAACACGTGTATAATAATTTCATTAATAATGATACCGTGCGAAATTATGGTAGAGCAAACTTCGCCATTAACGAATCAGTCCAAAATGAGAATTCGCTTCAAGTAAATAATGATTTGATATCGAACCGTAACAGTGTGTCGATACTGGAGAATGTTTTAATTAATGACAATACGATTATAAATTACAAACATAATGATATAGTTGACCAAATCACAAACACACAAGAAAGTGTCTCTATACTTAAAGATGTAGTTTTAAAGAGAGACTCTTATGTAGAAGCGAGAGGGAAGACAGAAAACACAACTCGAGAAAAGGTAAGGCTTAGACAATACAATGTAGTGTAACTAATTTTGGAATCGTTCATATCATTTTTTTATTTATTACAGAATACTGAGTGGACGAAAATCCTAGAATCGCAAAAACTGCTTACACAAGAGTTGATAGAAACTCAGGACCTTGACGCTACATATTGCAAGACACAGATTGAAGAGAACACACAAAATTACCACAGCAATACTGATAATGTAAACTACACTGATAAAGAAATTTACAAAAATATCGACACACAAGCTACAACTCAAAATTACCCGCACGTCAGTCAAAGTCAAAATAATAGTAACATTATCATTATAAAAGACAATCTCTTTAAATCTAAAGCGATATCTGAAAATATCAATACCAATGATAATATTGAACCGCGAAGCGACGTATTTGCTAATCAAAATATTATTATTCCTAAGCAAAATACTTCAGAATTTACACAGACAGAATTTAATGAAAATTTTAATTACCATCGTTCTACTTATAATGGACCAGATAATCGTTTATATTATAATGAATCAGACGATACAAATAAAGTAAATAATATTGGAGATCATAATCATACAAACCAAAATAATAAAGATAAAATTGAAGTTAATGAAATGCAAGTAGATTCCATTGATATAAATAAATACGACACTTTAAATCTACGAATAGACGGACCGAACAGTTTATCGAAAAATAATACATCTAATGATAAAGTAAATGATGAAACTGTTGAATTTAACTATGCTGAAACAAATGAAGATACAGTTAGAGAAGAATTGATCTCATTCAAAGTCATAGAAGAATTGAATAGAGTCAAATGTTATTTAAACAGAACTGTCGATAGAAGAACAAGCGTTGAAAACTCTCTCGACTCTGGATACAAAAGTGACAGCCAATCTAGAGGATCTTACAGAAATTGTAAGTTAGTAACTTATCTAAATACTAGTGGCCGACCGCGAATTCGTGCGCGTTTTATCATTTTTCGTAATATCACACCCTCACAAATAAAGTGGCTTTCTATTGGTAAAATAATTTTTCATACTATTCGCCAGGGCTTGTTTACCGGTTAATTTTCAAACCTAAATCAGTGTCGAGTACATTAGGAGCGTTTTATTTAGGTTTGGCTCTACCTTAACCTTAAAAAACCGGTTTTCTTAATTAGCGAAATCAAATAGGTTTTGAATCAATTTAGCGGTATTAAAGGGTTTCATTTCGCTCTTGCTGACGGCATCGATAATAAATTAATAACTTGACTTACTAGACGCTAGCAAACGTATCAATAAATGCATCAATCTCTGAGCATTAACAAGTCGTGACTTGATTAGTTCAAACAAAACAAACTTCATGCGATGCCGATGCGTGCACGAGTCGCTCTGGATTAAACCGGTTTATTAAGGTTTTAGGTACCACTTTCATTACGGATGCGCTCCGAACGAAACCTTTACTAAAAACCGGTATTAACCTTTATTTACCGGTATTTTCGAAACCGGTTTCAAGCCCTGCTATTCGCAAATGGAATTCTTTGTCCGCACACCTGTCCCTTCTACAATCTGGGGTTCTTTAAGAGAGGCGTGAAGAAGCATTTTTTTAGCAGGCGTGATGAAGCCGGCATTAAGAGGATGGTTGATGTGGCAGTTTATAATAACTGTACCAGCTATCTTCGCGTTTGACGGCTATCACCACTTAATATCAGGTGGGGTAGAGACATTCATTTGCCTATCGGGCTATAAAAAATATCGAAATCGGTTCAGTAAATCCAGAGATTCCCACCTACAACCTCACAAAATTTACCTATTTGTTATATTAGTGGGTATAGATAATTTTATTTCCCCCGTTCCATAATATCCCCATTGGTACAATAGAGATGATAACTCATTTTTTTCTTCGTTTATCAGGTAGATTATCAAAAAGTATTGGACACGTATTTTTTCTTTTTTCACATACAATAAACATTGCAGAGATAAGTATATTGATTGGAAAAGTCGCATGACGTCACGTTTTGGTACAATTTTCACTTAAAAGTGACGTCACGAGTCCCTACTCCCAAACTTTGACGCGCTATAACTTTGTCATTTTTTGGTTGATTGCCCAAAGAAAAAATACGTGTCCATTATTTTTTGATCATCTAACTGACGGACTAAATAGAATTTCGTTTACTATAACCCGTCATCACCCCTATTACCGTTACCGATGGGGATATATGGAACTTTCTATTTTATTCTATATATCCCAACTGATTCGCACTGGTACGAATAATTGGGTATTCACTTCCATTTTTCCACAGAACACAGAGAATTATTTTGAATGTGGAGGGGGTACGTCGAGGGTCGAGACTTTTTAATGCTTGCTTTTATTCATTTCTTATTATTATTTACCTAATAAGTAACTTGATAACATTTTTAATTAAAACGGATAAAATTATTATATTATGTATAAATGGCTGACAAAATATCAATTTATTATCAGAATTGTAGGGGGTTGAGAACCAAATTACAAACTATTTATATGAATATCTTATCGGAATCGTATGACATTATTATTTTAACGGAAACTTGGTTGAATTCCTCAATTGTCGACACTATGGTAGCTGATTCTCGCTACGTAATTTTTCGCTGTGACCGTGATCTCGTGGCAACCAATAAGCGGGACGGTGGTGGCGTTTTGGTGGCAGTGCAGCGCGACATGGTTGCGCACCGTGTCACTATCGAAGATAGCGATGTGTGCGACCCATTCCAGAAGGTAACCACGCTTAACGTGGAATATGTATTGTTGAAGGTTCCGTCAAAAGTGC